CACACACACACATATATATATATATATATATATATATATATATATATATATATATATATATATATATATGAATATACCTATCATACTTTTATTTACAGAGCAGCTATTGTGCAGTCTGCAACCATGACAAATGCTATCAGTTTCAACCGTAACACATTTCATACTATTTGCTATTTAATTATTACATAAATTGAACAGCAACTGCATTGGAAATTTGGTTGACCTGCCAATGAAAGGTTAAAGGAAGTTATGGGAGGTCATAAATGTTCATAGTTCTGTTCTCACGACTTACTATTCAGGGTTCATGATGTGACAGCAAAGGGATTGTTATTGTTTGTCCAGCTGGTAGAAGCGCTCTGGGCCGCCTACTGTTTACCGGCTGACCGCAAACTCTGAGCCAGTGTTTAGCCTGGAATAGTAGCAATAAAAAGAGGATCTCTGAGTTTTGATAAGTCTTTGTGGACCGTTTCCAGACTTCCTTGTAAAATCAACCCAGTCTGACTTTACGGCTCCTCTCTCCTCTCCTCTCTGGTTTTACAAGCCGCGCAGGTGCGGCAGTGACGGATGATGATGCGCCGCTATTCTGATCCACTTTCGCCGCCTAGTGGTGGGATCCATGCATATGTCATTTTGTGCATACGTTGCCAGGATTCAGAAAACATGTTAAATAAACGGTAATGTAATGTTGATTTTGTAGATGAGCTGATATATACACAGATAAAACGTCTGTCTGTGTGGTGTTTGCCCTGTAAGACAAACCGCCAAGGTGTTTATATGTGGTTCCTTGAGGTTTATGTGTGGCTTATATATAAAATATAAAATTTTTATTTACATTATAAGCTAATTAAATGTGTGTGCGTGTTTACTCCCCTCCCATGTTTTCGGCAGAAAAAAAAGCATAGATTAAACTGAAATTCAAACTGCATCAAACTTTATTGAATAAAACACCCTAAATCTTAAAATAGGAATGAATAACACATTTAAATATCAAAAAGAGTACAGATGGACAAAATACTTTTTGTATATCTATAAAACAATCCTTAAATTAAATTTTTATTTACATTATAAGCTAATTAAATGTGTGTGCGTGTTTACTCCCCTCCCATGTTTTCGGCAGAAAAAAAAGCATAGATTAAACTGAAATTCAAACTGCATCAAACTTTATTGAATAAAACACCCTAAATCTTAAAATAGGAATGAATAACCCATTTAAATATCAAAAAGAGTACAGATGGACAAAATACTTTTTGTATATCTATAAAACAATCCTTAAATATTTTTCATTTTGAATGAGCTTTTAAGGTTTAAAACAGAAAAATACAGAATGGCTTCATTTTATATAAAAAGCCCCTTTTCAAAAGGTATTACACCTCTAAAGGCACTGCAATGCAAAATAACTTTATGAATACATTCATTTAGAGACATTGTCTGATGAAACATCAGAGAATATAATTTGCAGATAAGACAACAGCCCAACAGAGACATTTTGGCATACCAGGAAGCAACACACTTAAATAAATAATGTAAAAACAGCAAACTTTGGTGCAAGTCTCTTTGTCTGTTCGATATACCTTAAAGACAGTCAAATCGTCTCAATCTTAAACATTACATTTCCCCCCCCAAAAAACATTACAAACATTACAAAGAAGAGAAAACCCTGCTTGCCTGCTCAGATTGTAAGAAATTGAGCAATGTTTTATTTGCTTCAGGAAAAAAAATCCTGACTAAGGTTGTGGGACAGAAGTCTCAATAAATATTGGATTTCTTGCAACCTACAGCAGTGTGCAGGATTCTTCCCTTTTCTTATTATTTCTTGTGTTCAGTTAAACTTTCTGCAACCATTCAGGTGTGTGAAGGCTGTTTGTTTATTGTCCAATAAAACAATAAAGACCTTCTTTCAGATTTTAAGATTTAAAGTAATATTGCTTAAAATACTAAACTCTCGACCAGTGAAACCTGGGAAAACCTTCAAAACATTGTGCAAACTTTCAATGAATAACTTGTCTGATCTAGACTGGACATGATTTATATCCCACTGAGATGTCGCTGAGATCTTTAAGATGTTGTGAGAAAGGGCTTCACGTTTAAGCCAAATGTCTTTGAAAGTTAAAACAAGGCACACTAATGTTCAGGTGTAGTCCAAGTCATTTAGGATCGTCTCTGGTGCAGTGAGCCACAGCTTTCATGAGAATTCAAGTTTCTTTATTGAAGAACACACTTTTCCTTATTGCTGTATTTTCTACGCCTTGCCTCCAGACCTCTCTCCAGTCTCTCATCCTCCTCCAAAGCCCTGCACATACAAAATACATTCAGTGCATGAGTATGTAAAGTCTCATTTCCAGTGCAACAAAACACATTGTGACTAGACTCACCCTCTCTCTTTTGCATCCATGTCTCTGACCAGCTCGTCCCGCTTGTTGACCAGTGACACCAGTTCCTGTAGCAGTAGCTGTTCTCTGTGCTGTTGGGCCTGAGTTTTCTGCCAGTCTGATGGATGAAATATGGATATTAGTGATATGATGTACAGTGATGAAATACTGCTTCAGCCATAGAGGAAATAGGTAGGTAAAAGTTAAAAGCATTAATAGACCAATATATGGGCCAAGCTGATGTTCTTTCTTCCACTTTGGCAAAATCCACATTAACATTGGTATTAATTACATTTGGAACCTGCAAACTTTTCACTTTTTTGTTGGTTTTAGGAGTACAATCTGAATTTACATGACAAATGAAAATATGGAATGTGTGGAATACAGATGCACAATATATCGGTAGCATACAGGCTGATATTAGATAACTGAATAATTAACTATGTTCATTATTTTTACATTTATATTACCTTGGCTGCTCAAGTTATGCTTTAAAAACACTACTTTAATAGTTAACAGATAACACAGCTTACCTTCAGTAGCCATCATCGTTCTGAGCTCTCGAGTTAGCAGCTCAAATCTTCTTTCTAAATCCTGCTCTTCTTGCCTGCAAGGATAACATCATGAATATTTATTGATGCGGCTGACATTGTGTCTTACATATCAATACATACAGCAGCTCCAGATGGTCTTGTCTCCTGATCAGAGCATTCTTCTTGTTGACCAGAGTGAACCATTCCTCAATCAGCTTCTCTTCTTCATCTTTATCACTTCCTGTTAAAGAAATAATATGGCATATCATGCTGTATTTCAAGAGTTCATTTGAAATCGGCTTCATTCTCTCCTTCCCTCTATATGAGTGTTTTTCTTACCCGTCTCCATGAGCTTTCGGAGTCTTTTCTCCACGACTGCAGCTCTGCTGTCTATGTGCTTCTGTTCGGTTTCCAGGGCCTGAAGTTCACTCAACACATACTGATTGGTGTCCTGCAGACACTGGCCAGGAAGTACCACAGGGAGACATACATAAAACCAGACAAGAGCAATACAGACAGAGAGAGGAAAAGCCAGCGAAAAAGAATGAAGATTGAGCGAAAGCGAGATGGATAGAGCCAGATACAGGGAATAAAAGACCAACATTGATAAGACAGAAGCAGACAATGACGTACCAAGATAATGGAGAGGAGAGGAAAGGACAGACTTGATTTAACTAAGATTTATGAAAACAAGGAAATTAAACATGGGATGGTAAGAGCTTGCGAGTCAGGGGCCGGATTCTGTAGTTCATAAGAATGTTTTTGCAATTCTGGAAATTCTGGATTCTGAATTCCTTTTTTTTCTTAAGCAGAAAATGACAGGCTTTGGTGTTATTTGACGGGTATAGGCAAAGTTTCATTGATGACATTGATGACAACATGAAATGTTTAGATATGTTTTTGGGAATACAAAATATTCATAACCTTAATCTTAAGTTAGAAAACAGGGGAAAAATAGCAGTTTTATTCTTAAGAATGTTTCACAAATCTGGCCCCAGAATGAGAGAATTATGATGATTATTGTAAACTCAGAAAGATATTTTCTAAATATTTGACGTGCAAATTGGCACATTTAGTTTTAATTTGTTTTCTTTGAGGTTTATCCAAAAGTTACACTTGATGAAAGACAAAACACTCCAATTGTCTCAAATACTGAGGGCATACTGACCATTGTCTCATTATCTGCTGATTTAACATCTTGGTTTGCTTCCTGAGGTTCTGCAAACACATTCAATGGCAAAAAAGTGTAAATCAGAGTGTAAAATTCCAAATCTTTCCAAACTCAATAATTTTTTGGGGATATTAGGAAGCTGTTGATGAAGGTTACCAGTTTCAGCACTTTCTCTGGCAGCTGTTGAGCCATTAGTTCCTTCAGCTGTCAGTTCACCTTTATCTGACTGTTGGAGGTTAGTAGAGAAAAGACAATTAGATCAAATATTAACACACATAAATGCAAGGGAAGGGTAAAGTTGATGTCTTTTACCTCCTTTGGCTGCTCCTTCGAATCGGTCTCATCCATGGATTCGCTCTTCTGTCGCGACCGCCGTTTCTTCACCAGATCCGCATCTCGTATGTGGCCAAATCCTGATCTGGAAGCCGCTGAGTTTGATCGTGGCGGGGCCACAGGAGTCTGCGCTCCTCCCTCTGTCTCCTTACTGCCCATCTCTTCCACCTTTCCTGCACGTTTAGTCCGAGGTGGAGGAACAAGAGCTCCGTTTGGCTTAGCCACACTGTCACTTCCCTCCTCTCCCAGTGAGTCCTTGCTGCTGCTGTCTCCTGACAGAGCTCCAGCTTGGAGCCTCTCTGCACAGAATTTGGCTGCTGCTTGTACATCCGGCCCTTGGCTTGGCCTGGCTACTGCATAGCTGGACTGACTGTTGTTCTGCTCTATCTGTAACACACTCAGCTCCTGCCCAGTGAAGTGTGCACGGATTTGGCACAAGTACGTCATGACAATCAAACGATCTGGCACAGAGAGAAGCACCATATCTGAGGGCTCCAGCAGACGAGAGATTCCCAGTGTTGCAAACCCATCAAAAGCCTAAAAGAGAAGCAAAAATGGGTAGCACAAATGATAAGGTTTGAGTTTATAGTTAAAAAATATCTTTATGTGGAACATCTGCTTAAACCAAACTTACAGTTTTGTTATTTTGCTTTATGTTGTGAGGCTCCAATGCATCAAAGTCACTGAAAAACAACAACTAAGTCAAAACACAATAACAAATATTTATTTTATGATTAATTCCAATTATTTCAGTAATAATTCTCATATTATGAACAATAATAGGCTATACATGTACAATACTGAAATTCTAAATGATGTTTAAATAAATGTATATGAATAAAATTATTTTATTTAATTAATTTTTTTGCAGTTATTGTAAGTTTATTTAGGTACCACAACATTGTATTGTAAAGTATGAACAATCATATTCTTTTTTTAAATACAATTTTGCTAAATATTACATTTAACAGTATAAAAAGATTTTAGGAGAGTGATGGGAAAGGTAAATTAAATAGAAAAAGGAGCAATTGAACATCCACAATTAAATATCTAATATCAACCAATTTTTGTAAATGAAAATATTATTAATTAAATGATATGGTACAGATAAAATGTGTATCACTGATTTGTTTGTACTTGAAGCAAATCATATTTTTTAGGCTTGTGCAC